ATGGAGTATACGTTTGTGTCATAGTCAGATTCAGTGAAGCACTGTTTACTTTCTCCGAGTATTATAGCTCTACAATGAGGTGGAATTATAGACTACTGATAAAGGAAGATGAATTTTGTCATTTCCCTTACACTTATTTTTTCGACCTTCTGTGGATCTGAACGATGTAATGGAAACAGGTTGCATGATAAAGATCACGTTTCTGCCTTGGCCTCTAAAAATATAATTAAGCAACTCCGTTTACTTATAACTTTTCAGTAAACACGTTAGCAGGGTTAAGTAAATATTTTATAAACGCCAACCAATAGGTCTATCTTGGTTAATTGCAGGATCGTTTTCGTAGCTGTTGCTGTCAGAAATCAATAAATTGACTATACAAATAGTGGATGAGAATATTACAAGCTATAAAATTCTAAGAGGTTAGCATCCCATTGAGTAATAGCTCGTAAAATATTCCGTTTTAAAAAAAAACGCTATGGCTAACTGGCTAACTGGCTATTTACTGTGACGTCATATGCATGAGGGTGCAACACGGTCAGGTTTCCCTGTGCAATTTAACTGCAGTCCTAGCAATTCATTAATACATATCAAACTGTATGACGAGTAAAGATGGCATATACTTCCCACCTGTTTAACATTCTCTGTCTTCATTTCTTCCCTCCAATCCGGAGCTGGAGAACGCAAAACGTCGAGAATTATCGTTCCAAGCATATACAACTAGAAAATATCAGCAGCTGCAAAGTCGCGCATTTAGAAAGCTAGTCAACATGCCTAATCGATTACGCGCATTTAAAAAAACTTCACTAAAAGGTCACAAGCAGGCGTGGCGCCAACGATTGTCTTAAGGCACAGGATAACGTGACGTCCTTTGAGGATGAAGGGAGACTCTTTGGCCGTTCTAAGCATAAAAAAGTGCGGATAGAGTAATTACCTTTACATTAAATTTATGCGTTCGGATGAAATTGGAGAGCTTTGTCATATTAAGTAACAATAATAAAAATCGTAGTAATAGTAATGCCTGTCAGTAAACAGACATTATCGAAAGAAATAGCAAATTTTCTTAAACATCTTACGAATTAGTCATAGCGACACATTGCAAGTTATTTACATTATGGAAAATAAAACTTTGCACGATCGTTGGCATCGTTTGGAAAGAAATTCGGTTTGAGAAATGACCGTGGCCCAGAGCAATCGTCGTTGGCCACGAGGCTACGCTGGTGCTGCATTACCCAATCCTTCTCATGGCATAGTGACAATTAAGCAAATAAGTGGATAAAAAAATGAATAAAATCTCGTTTACGCAGACAACTTTTGGTGTATTTACTCCTTTCTTAGGGACATGGAAAATACCTGCGTTGACAAAATTAACACTGATCTCCTTAAGCTCTCACGTCGAAGCCCCAGGTGCCCCATGAAGTTTTCTACATCCAAGTGTAGTTTCATGTGTTTTGGCGCCGCCAAGCTCCCTGGATCCCAGTTTTTCAAATTACTCCTTGTCTTAGGACGCTTCACCATAAGGGACTTACTTCAAAGGTACACGACTAAGCTAGCATTATTACCTCAAGCAAATCAAATTTCGGTAAAGTTTGAATCTATATGTTTTTATATCACGTAATTTCTTCTTTCCGTAAATAAAGCTAAAACTACCGCATACATTTTCTGCACATCCTAGAGTACGGTTGTTCTCTCTTTGGTCTGATGAAAGCCTCGGACCGCAGTGACATTGACAGTGTTCAAAGATTTTTAACTCGAAGGCTAGTTTCCCATTCTGGCTGCAGTATTTCTTAAACGGAGAGATGCCAGTTAACGAACATTTAATCTTTGTTTGTTAGAAGACTCACAGCCGGCTTCTGCATCCTGTTTCACAATAACTCTAGCCCCTACCTCCCACAAACTAACGTTCTCATTCTGGTAGGTTGGCCTTATACCATCGCAATTCCTCCATGATAATTTCCCATTACCTTAGGTCCCCACCTAACCGCCCTCGTTTTTTGCCACTAAATATGCCTTCACTTGGAATAATCTGCCCCTTGAAATGAGGTTGTCGTCTACATTACCAATTTTAAAAGCGAAATGTACGTAAACATTTGAATACCGACGACATGCAATCCTTACTGGCCGTTTCGTTCCCAAATACAGAACTTTTGGAATTTCAAAGGGGCCATTCGGCTATTTGAGTCGGGTTCTTTGATTTTCAAGTGGTTTTTAATATGGTTATATTATCCTCTGTCTAAGAAGCTATCGTAGCCGTTTTTCGACACCCTCCTTTATTCAATTGCGCAGTAGTTTGGTAAGCGGTACAATGTCGTCTAGTAGAGCAAGGACTTGTTGCATTGAATGGGGCAGTTTATCCATCCAGATGCGGCGGAAAATAGAATCGCCTAAAGTGCGACCAGCAAGCAAGTGACGCATGCGGCGCATCAGGGCAGAGGGCGTTTGATCACCTAGCTCCACATTGTTGAGGAGCTGATGGAGCTTACTGTCGGCAGATTGTGCCGTGCGTTGAAGGATAGCTTGTTTAAAGCTAGAATAAGGTCTATCCCTAGGAATAC